CCAGTGGCTCAGCCTCCCTAATTACCTGAGGTAGACACTCTTGGTGCACCCCTTTGTGGGCTGTGTGCACAGTCTTGTTGTAGTTAAGCCTTGATTGCTGTTGGTATCACTGGGAGGAATTGACCACCAGGCCAATTGGCTGTGAGGACCAGGTGTGTCTACAATGGGAGAATTTCTGTACTGGAGACACCCTTATGGGGCACGACTTGCTTCAGTGGGGTTTTGGCGCTCACTGAGTCTGCCCCCTGAGTGTGTCCCTTATGGATGTGAAGAGTTGTAATCTGCATGGTCTCACTCTGACCACTGGGTACACTGGATCTTGGATCTCCAAGGAGGTGCAAAGTCAGCTACTGCCTGAGGCCACCCAGCAGGAGCTAGAGAGAGATCTGCAGATTCCTCCTCTTTGTTTTGGGGTTTGGGGTGCCCAGATGAGGCAGAGTTATGAAGCAATGCAGGCTGCTAATGAGCCTAAGGCCTTCTTTTGGAAGCTCTGGGGTTCTCTGACCCAGCTGAAATTTGACAGATTTATAGGTGGAGAAACACCAGGCCATTCATTTGCAAAAGCCTCTGCATACAGCTTGGGTGGCATTGTAAATTGGGTGGGGCGGGGTCTCAGGGAATCACCAGGGCAGAGCAAACAGCAATGGCTGCCAGTCAGCCCTGCCCCAAAGAGGCCCCTGGGTCTCTGTGTCCCATGGCCCCATGCAGAAACAATGACCGCTGCAAGCACCTCTGAGAGAAAGCTGCCCTTGTGTTCCAGCCCAATACCAGACAGTCCAGTTTCTTTCTGTATGAGTCTGGGTCACCAGATTCTCGCCTGAACTGGAGTACAGAGCAGTCGGGAGCTTGTATCTCCTTTCTGATTAAAAAAGACAACAGCATACCCAACTGCCAGCCCCTTTCACATGCGCCTCCATATCTCCATACTTCCACACCTCTGCACCTCTTACCAGACTCAATGCGCTTTTCTCTTTCCTTCTATTGTAGAATTTCCACTCAGCCAGCCTTCCTGTGGTTCTGGATGATACTCATTTTGTCTTTTAGTTGTAGTTTTAATGTGGTTGTGCGCGGCAGCAAGTTCAGGTGTTTACCTATGCCGCCATATTGGTTGTCCTCAAATAAAATCTTGATATCCCTCCCACCACACCCCAAATGGGAACAAAGATGGGCCACCATTAATACACATTTTACTAGGTAGAATTCTCTAGTAAACAGTTTCTAGTTCTCATTATGTCTATATTTGAAAAAAAAAAAAGCACAACATAGTAAAAATGGATTCCACTGCCTAAATCCCCAGGATTCACATGATGAGTAAATTCATCAAAATAAATTTGGAAGAACACTACTTCAATTAACCGTTTTGGGTGGAGGAGTTTCCTTATTTTCCCTTAAAAAATGGTGCAAAACAATGACACCACCAGATGCTGGCAAGGATGTGGGGGAACTATATCACACATATGTTGCTGATGGGAATGTACAATGGAACAATCACTCTGGAATACAGTTTGGCAGTTTCTTCAAAAATTAAGCCTATACACACATATAATCCAGTAGTTGTACTATGCATTTTTCCAGAGAAATTAAGACTATGTCCACAAAAAAAACTCTACATGGCCCTAACTGGTTTGGCTCAATGGATAGAGAGTCAGCATGTGGACTGAAGGGTCCCAGGTTTGATTCCAGTCAAGGTCATGTACCTTGGTTGCGGGCACATCCCCAGTAGGAGGTGTACAGAAGGCAGCTTATCGATATTTCTCTCTCATTGATGTTTCTAACTCTCTATCCCTCTCCCTTTCTCTCTCTGTAAAAAACAATAAAATATATTTAAAAAACTGTACATGATTGTTTATAGAAATGTCATGAGCTGAAAACAACCAAGATGTGCTATAGTAGGTAGATGGTTCAACAAGGTGTGATATAGCAATAACATGGAATATGAGAGAGAAAGAGAAAGAGAGAGAGATTGCTACATGATACTGTTGCATGAATAGATCTCAAGGGCATTGTGCTGATGGGGGGGAAAAAAGCCAGTCTCAAAAGATTACATACTTTTATATAACATTTTGTAAATGAGCAAAGTATTGATATAGAGAACAAATTATGCTTAACAGGTTAGGGATAGTAAGGGAGCAGGTGACTATAAAGGACTTGCATGAGGCAGATATTTGTATTAATGGGATAGTTCTACATTCTGATTGTGGTGGTCATTTCAGAATGTACACATGTGATAAAAAGAAAAAGAAATACTGTACACACACATTGTACCATTGTGAACTGGGTGATTTTGACATTTAACTACTGTTACATAAAATATAACCACTGGGTGAAGCTGTATAAGAGTACACAGCACCTCTCTGTTCAATCTTTGAAACTTCATGTGATTCTATAATGATTTCAAAAAATAAAAATGGGTACAAGCCAAATGTCTGAAACCTCTGGTAGAATCTTCTACATTCTCTACAACAAAACACCACTTTCATATTTTAATGGCCCCAACAGTAAGCATAGTTCTTATTTTATCCGGGGACTTTGAAAACAAAGATGAAACAATCACACAGAAAATTACACTTTGTCTTTATCCAAGAGATAGGCATTCCTTTCCCATCCACCTTCATCCCATCTCATGGCCTTTAAGTCTTGACTTTACAATTCTCCTCTCAGTGACCTACACTCTAATCCAAAATCACCCTCCCCCATTGTGAGTTAATGATATTTTCAATGGAAGGGAGATTTTTGAGCAGAAAAGCCTTCCAAATTCTGCTCGAAGCCATCTCCTGCCCATGCTGCACCACACAGACACCCCTCCCATGACACCCCAGCTTCAACACCTCAGTACCTCACTTCATAAAATAAATGTCCCAGGAAGACGACTAACATTTGAAAAGTACTTTGGTTTACAAAGTACTGCACACAAGGGATCTCATGATGCTTGTTAGACTGGAGAATACATAAAGCAGGAATCTCTTTTCATCCCCATTGTAGAGATGAGGTAACTTGGACTCAGTGAAGTAACTTCTCAAGTTCAATAGAGGCAAATGGTTAAGTTGAAAAATCAGATGGAATGTCAAAATATTCCATCAGAATTAAAACCCCATTCCCAATCTGGTAATAGACATTTAATAACTGGAAACGCTGACAGTGGTTGGCAAACTGCGGCTCGCAAGCCACATGCGGCTCTTTAGCCCCTTGAGTGTGGCTCTTCCACAAAATACCACGTGTGGGCACGAATGTACAGTGCGATTGAAACTTCGTGGCCCATGGACAGAATTTGGTATTTTGTGGAAGAGCCACACTCAAGGGGCCAAAGAGCCGCATGTGGCTCACGAGCTACAGTTTGCCGACCACTGCATAGAAGGCAAATAGTTGGTTCAACTGAATGGTCTGATCCCATCTAAAGCAGAGGTTCTCAAAGGCTTGTCTAATCCTGAGAGCAATAATATGACTAGTGGTTCTAAATAGAGCTTTCAAAATAGAAAGTCAGTATGCACCTGTATGTGGTTAAAGTAATCAGCTGGCATGGCAAGGACTAGAAAGAAAGGTCTGTGAAGCTCCTGATTTGACCCTCAATTTTGATTGATAGCCTTGCTGGGTACAGTATTCTTGGATGCAGACCCTTCATTTGCATGACTTTGTATATTTTATTCCATTCCTTTCTTGCCTGATGTGTTTCTATCGAGAAATCCGTCACTAGTCTGATGGGGGATCCTTTGTAGGTAACTTTCTGTCTCTCTCCGGCTGCAGGCCAATGCTCTATTCACTGAGCCAAACCGGTTTTGGCTAATTTTGTGATTCTAACCCTTTCCAGCTGGAGCACGGCTGGGATTTGTCAGTCCTTGACCAAAGTACCAGTAATAATAATAACAAAAAAAAGCTACATAATTGGAAAAATCATGGAAAATTAGTCACATGAAAGATAGTACTTTTGATAGCAGCGAACAGAAATGCAGATCAAATGACTCCAGGATCCTTACACCAGCAGAATATTTCTCAGAACAAAAGTTTGAGAACTTGACAATACACAAATAACACAGCAAAGTACTTTTATTATGAAAAGTAGAAGAGCAAGTAAAACTCATGATCTTAAAGCTGCTAAACATTACATAATCATCTGTTAGTCATAATCTACTTTTTCATTCAAAGGAGTTCCTCACCCCATTGTGCCCCATTTCTCATAGGATTAGGCTACTGCAGGAAAAATAAAAGGGTAGATTATGAAATTCTTACCAGCAATATATCTTAGTTCTACAGTGGTTTTGCCTTCTCCAGTTAATTCTGTTACTTCACAAGTGTAGTTTCCTGGGACAGCATCGCTCTTGTCCATCATCAAAGAGGCATTGCCTGTTAGCAGTGCATCTGGTACGATGTATGCACTCGAAAATTCCTTCTCCGGTCTGGATTTATTTTTATCTCCATCATAGAAGTAAATGTGTTTATTTCTGAATTTCCACTCTACAAACATTTCTTTAAGGCTCTTTGCCCCCACATTGGTGACTAAGCATGGGATGGTGAGAAGAGTTTCATTGCAAATGGTGTATTCTACAGATTCAATTGTAGTAAATAGTAGCTGTGTTTTAACTGGAAAAGAAAAAGAAAATAGTTTCAATTCATTATAGGTTTCTATAGGGTAAGGTCGTAGGATGTTACAAATTCTTAAGATAAAAGAGCAATGCTTTAATTGTCCCCTTAAGTAATTAGTGCAGCTACAGAGAGAAGGCAGGCCAGGTGAAAAAGTGAAACAAGTTATTAACATGCACATGAAGCATAGTAAGTTCCATCTTGTATAAAAACTGCTGTTTGAAATTCTCTGCTATTGTTAGGTAGTTTTTTGTTCTGCAAACTCTGTCATTTTTAGACAGTCTCATATTCTGTAGAATAACTGTTTTAGTTTGAATAATAGAAAAAGATAAAAACTTAACTGTCTGACCTTGCAAGCTAGCCCTCTAATGTAATGGACTAATACTGATAATAATTCCCATATTCTTATGCCAAATGTTTGTTATTTATGTATCCAAGATTACAAACTGTCTGTAACAATAACTCACACAGAGCCCTTTGTAAAATCTGCAAAGAGCCCAAAAGGTATAAATACGGGAAACTTCCTCTGTGTCTTTGCTCAGAGATTTGGAAGAAACACCTCCCACTGGGCCGAGCTCAATAAACAACTCCCAATTATTTGGCTCATTAAGGCGTCTTGTATCTCACTCGCTGATTTACGACACAACACACAGATGGCAGACACCATTGTAACTATTCCTTATTCATTCTCAGTAATACAAAGTATACATTACAAAGAGTATTGGGACTAAATTCAGCAACGTGTATTGGAACATGCAGTTGTATATTTGGCTTCAGAAGCTTTGAAGTAATCATTGTTGCTCACTGATGTATGTAGAAAAATATTGTCCTTACCATGGAAAATTTTTGAACAGAAAATCGAACCAAATATTGTATTCAGTCTCAACTTCTATGTACTGCCTCCAAACAGAACTTGCTAAACCCATATGAAGTTTATCTCTATATTTATGTTGCATTTCCAAGCAATGTGGTGAGCTATCCTGTACTTTAATATAAAAAGGAAATCGGATGAATCACATCGTATCTTTCCTCTAAGATGGGAAGCCTTGGAATGCTAAGGAGAAAAAAAATTCTCTGGCTATATCCCATTGCAAAATACAGACAGCAATGGACATTTGATATGCAAATAATTATAAAGAGTTATATATAATTGAAGGGCTTTTTCTAACTCCCACAATTCATTGAAACTACAGAACAACAATTACCAAATGCATATTACAAGTATTCCTTCCTTTTAAAACCATAAACCACTCAACATAAAGCTAAGAAACAGTTGAAATCAAGAACAGATATTGCTAATAAGTAGGTATATTCTACTAAACACTTCTCAATATGATAAACTACCAGTTGTCTTATGAAACAGGGGTTGGGAAGGTAATTGCAATCACTCATCCTTCACCTAAAATGTGCAAGATTATGGAGAAATTGCAGTTCTCTTCCATATATTCCAGCCATTTATGTAACTCTTCTAAGTAGTTAATTGAATTTTCCCTGAAAAAACACAGCACTAACAAATATCAATATCAGCTTTATTAGTTCATCGTTACAATTCTTTCCTTCTATATAAATTGGGAATAAAACCCAGGGTTATAACATGTTATTATTCTAGGAACACAGTATTTGGTAAATGCCCATTGAGTTGAATGCTAGGATGCATAGTGAAATATGAACTGAACAAGGTTCAGAAAGCCTGAGTACAAATTCTACCTGTCCCTTGTCAGTATGTGACCATAAGCAATTCTCATAACTTTTCCAGGCCTTGGTTTACTCTTGCAAGTAAGAGGATCATAAATGAACACCAGACTGCTTCAGAGAATTGTGACGAGTATCAAAGGAGCATATACATGGACAAGTGCCCTCTCACAAATGCTGTGCTGTACATATGCAGGTAATACTCTAAAAACAGGACATAACAGCATTTTTATTTTTTATTTATTTATTTATTTTTAAATTCTTTATTGTTTAAAGTATTTCATGAGTCTCCTTTTTTCCCTCATTGACGTCTTCCCCACCACCCGCTTCTCCAAGCACAAGCCCTCCTCCTCCCGCCCCACTTTCTCTCCCCACCTAATGTCTGTGGCCATTGGTTTTGCTCATAAAACAGCATTTTTATACAATGATCTAAACCTTCTCTGACTGGGAGGTGCAAATTGTTATGTTTCTGGGAATTTGCAGTCTGAACCAAGCTTGTGCTTCACAAGCTCACTTCTGCCCAGTTCTCTACACTTCTAGCCATCCCTGTACTAGGATGCCTCAGGCAAAACCTGGACTTTTAATTGTGTTTTTCAAAATCATGGGGTTCTAAATTATTTCCCCTGAGGTAGAAGCATTGAAGGGGAAGCTATAGTGCACAATAAGGAGAGAAGAAAGTGGTTGTGATGTTGGAATTAGAAAAGAAGGAAAGTGTCAGAAAAATGGTACACAATTTTGAAATAGACAAAAAGATTAGTGGGAATCTGGGCATCGACTGACAGATCCTTTGGGAATATCTGATTTTGTAGGGGCCTGTGCCTTTCACTGTTTTGATTTTAAGTTGTAGAACTCTGATAATAATGCAAATTACTCCTGTCCATAGAGAGAGAAATAAACTTTGTTCTGCAACTTGATTTCCACCTGGTGGAAGAGACCGTTGAAAAATTACATTTTATTTCACTAAGGAAGTTGACCAATTGCATATATTCATTAATTCATTTCAGCATTACTGATTGCCTATATGTGTCTCTTTTCTCCCAATGTTCTTTAAAAGCAAACATGGCCTTACCATGTTGCTATCTTGCTTATTCAACAATTTCATAACTTATGCTTAGAGAATGGATTTCCTGCAGAATACAGGAAGTGCTAATTGCACTGCATTATTTGTTGTAATATACACAAATTTAAAGCTGAAGCCATTTAAATAGAATTAGTGCTCTTAATAAAATTCACCTCCATAAGCCATAACTTGAATAACCCTTGGACTATCTACACTAATAAAAGAGAAACATGCAAATTAACCATCACTCCACCACTCAGCTACACCCATAAGCCATGCCGACCAGCCAATCAGGAGCGAGTATACAAATTAACCCAACTAAGATGGCGGTGGCCACGGAGCTGGTGCGAGCAGGAGGCTTGGGTTGCCCTTGGCGATGGAGGAAGCCAAGTTTCCCCCCTGCCCTGGCTGGCCCTGGGCTCTGCTCAAGGCTACAATGTTTCAATTATAGAAGAAAAATAAATCCCAGAAACCTGCTTCTAGCCCGCTCTGGCCTCCACTCAAGGAGGCACTGAAAAAAAAAAAAAAAAGAAAAAAAAGAGAGGCTGGGAACTTTGGTCACGGGGGTGAGTGGCCAGCCTAAAAACGGCCCTCAGCCCCTCACCAAGGCTGGCCATACCCCAATGGGGTGAGGGTTCCCCCTGGGGGCTTGGCCAGCCTGAAAACAGCCATCAGCCTCTCACCCAGGCTGGCCAGGCCCCCAGTGGGGACCCCCACCCTGAAAAGGGTGTGGCCAACCTGAAAATGGCCCTCAGCCCCTCATCCAGGCTGGCCAGGCACCCCAGCAGGACCCCCACCCTGATCCGGGACATCCTTCAGGGCAAACCAGCCGGACCTCACCCATGCACCAGGCCTCTATCCTATATAATAAAAGGGTAATATGCAAATTGACCCTAATAGCAGAACGACTGGGAATCACTAATCACTATGACACTGACCACCAGGGGACAGACGCTCAATGCAGGAGCTGCCCCCCGGTGGTCAGTGCGCTCCCACAGAGGGAACTCTGCTCAGCCACAAGCCAGACTGATGGCTGCCAGCACAGTGGTGGTGGCGGAAGCCCCTCCCGCCTCCTCAGCAGCACTAAGGATGTCTGACTGCAGCTTAGGCCTGCTCCCTGCTGGCAAGTGAACATCCCCTGAGAGCTCCCAGGCTGCCAGAGGGATGCCTGACTGCAAGCTTAGGCCCACTCCCCTGGGCCTAAGCCAGCTGGTGGACATCCCCCAAGGGGTCCCAGACTGTGAGAGGGCACAAGACAGGCTGAAGGATTCCCCCCATCACGAGTGCACAAATTTTTGTGCACCAGGCCTATAGTAATAAATAAAACAGTGTAGTCCAAAAATGTACTGTACCAACTGCTGACCACATCTTCATTTTTAAAAACACTTATTTAAACATTACAATTATAAAATATCTGATTTGTGTTTTCTCTCTTTTGCCTACTGCCTTCTGATGGAACAACAAAGTGCAGAAAAATTTGAAAAGAGAACAAATAAAGGAACACAAATAATTAACATGAGTAAGAAAATTCTGAAAAATGATGTGCTTACAGCCCTCTAAATCAGATAGAAAGGTATTAATACAACCATCAGTGATGCCATGCTTACAAATAAATTAAAAATAAAATGTAATATTATTTTATATTAAATGCCAAAAATATTGGATTCTACAATCTCTGTGAATACCAATAACCAACCTAACCATCTCCTTCCACAGTCTTGAAGATGGCCAGCATGTGGTTGCAGAGAAGGCTCAATATATGGCACAGAATTATTGAAAATTGCAGCAAACATTTATTGAAAATTATCTGATCTGCAACATTGTGATAGGATGTGTGGATACAATGATGGGGGGGGCAGGGATTATGAATTACCTTTTCAAACTTCCAATTCTCATTTGGGGGATTGATATTTTTTATAACACAGGATTACATAAGTGCCTTCCTTCCTGTATGAGCAAAGTGCTCTGGAAGGGCAGGAGGGGACAGGAATCAGCCTTACAGGTTTCTAAGAAAATGTGTGTTGCTACCTGGGGAACAACAGAAAAGTCTCATAATCCCAGACCACTTGGGTGGTCTTCAGTCTTTTAACACATGTTCCATGTAAAGTTTCTCTCCCCTGTAACAGCTCTTAAATCAGCATCCTTCTGCAGGAGCTTATTTCATACTCTCCAAAGCAGCCCTCTCATCTTATTTCTTAATTCAGATTGAGTCCATCAGTGATGCCAGATGAGAAGCCAGAAGCTTCTA